AGCCCTCCTGGTCTCTTTGCCCATCCGGACCCCTCCAGTCCATGTCCCTCACTGCAGTCTGAGAGACTCCTGAAACATCTCCTTTTCTCATTATGCTCCTGCTTAAACTCTCATTTTTCAGAATAAAGCTCCACCTTATCTCCGTGCTGAAAGCTTTGATGATCCAGCTCCTTTCCTTTCACCGGCCCCCTTTCCCTTCATTCCCCCCACCTCATGCACCCCTCTGGAGCCACACGGATCTAACAACTGCACCAGGTGGCCCTGAACACAATTCCTCTCATTCACATAGTATCTCCTATTCATCCTTCAAAGCTTAGCTCCCGCATCACCGCCTCTAGGCGGCTTCCTGATGCCCCAGGCTGATTAGATGGCCTCTCTGTGTCCCTATAGCATCCTGCGCTTGTTGCCATCATTGCCTTTCCAAGGTTTTGTGAACCCGCTCTGTTTACTTATTCACGTCCCGAGACATCTAGGAGTTCCTGGGGTGGGGAGGGCATGGCTTCTGGTTCATCTCACTGTCTCCACTACCACGCCAGGCACGCAGCAGCCGCTCAAGAAGTGCTAGAGGAGCAAATGACACATGTAAAATTTCCTGCTGCGCATTTGGGGTTTAAGAATCCACCGTTCTCCTCTCTTGCTCCTTTGGCCCCCACATCTTGAACGCACTTTACCAATTATCTCTACTTGCTTGCTCCTGAGAGACACATCTAAGCAGATGCAATCCAGGCCAGAGTCACATGTGTTATTTGCATACAATTTGCCAAAATTTGCATGTAATTGGCTTATGCCCAGGATATCTAATCTCTGGCTATTTGATTTTGGTGCTGAAGCCAGATCATTGAGCCAGAGGGAGGGTTCTTCCCTCTCCCTCTCTCTGTTGATCTTTCCATCCTCCCTTCCATGCTGGCAGTGTTGCCCTGGCAAGTGGGGCATCAAAGGCCTCTGAGGAGTGAGGAGATGCTGGATGAGAGGGCCAGGAAGGGGATGTATGCTTTGCTTTTCTAGTATGAGGAGCAGCATGTGTGTAAAGGATCCGGACCAGGCTGAGGGCAAAGCTGTCCTTGTGATGTCTCTGGACTCTGCTGAGCTGGGTCTGGAAGTCAGCTCCCCCTAAAGCCTTGAGCTGGTGGATCTTTGGAGTAAGAAGAGCTCAGGGCTGAATGAGGTGGGAGGATGTCCTATGGGAAAAACAATTGCACAGAACAGAGACTGGAAATCCAACAGAAATCAGGGCCAGAGGCAGGCAGGAGGAACGTGAGTGCCCTAAGAATGCCCAGAGATACGTCAGAGACATCAGGGTGCCTATGATAAACGAGACAGACTTTCAAGGCGAGCTTAATAAAATCCAAAATGACAAGATGATACCAACACACTGAAGGACTTGGGGGGCCCCCAAGTTGATCCGTGAGTTACAGAGGGTCTCCCAAGCTGTTGATTGCCATGTAGCTGGTGAAAGCTTCCTCCCAGGACTGCACCCTCCCCCTCACACTCATCCATCACTTAGGGGGCCACCCAGCCCCTCCCATTGCCCTCGCTCCTCCTGGGACCACTCAGCATCTCCCACCACCCTCATTCCCTCTGGGACCACCCAATATTTCCCTTTCCCACCCTGGCTGTAGTGAAAGGCAGCCTCAGGCTTCATGACCAGCATCCCAGAGTCAGACAGAGAATCTGGGGTGGGGCATGGAGTTTGGACCAGCACAGTTAGGCCCTCACAGCATGCAAGGTCTCAAGCACAAATGGACACAGTCGCATTTTAGCAAGTCACAGCCGGATAGCATGATGTCCTATGTAGAGTTTGCCATTCTCCAAATATGAGACACCACGAACTGCTGGCTGCTTCACGCCTTGCTTCGCCAGCCTAAAGGGTGCCAGACACATGCTCGCACGGCACTAAAGATGGTCACCACGAGCCCAAACACTCCTGTGCTTGGCTTACATCTTCTGTCTGGCATCTAGGAAATGCGTCTTGCAAATCAGCCCTCTCAAGGAGGGAACATTGCTGAAGACCCAAAGGCGACATTTTGAAGCAGTTGTGCTCTGAATATGTAAAAAAAAAATTTCACAAAAAGTATTTTCAGCTCCTGTAGTTCCTAAACACCAGCATTCTAAAAATTGCACAAGAACCAACTCAATAGCTATTTAAAAATATGGATGCCCGTTCTGGAGCTCCAGAGATTCCGGTTCCGTACATCTCGGGTGAGTCCAACATCTGTGTCACTAGGATTCGGATATGCAGCCAGGAATGAAACCCACTGACTCAGACCATGGCAGAAAGATTAAGATTGGCACTAGTGTCTGTTGCTGCTCCGAGATCAGTTGCAAGTGGGCGAGGATTTCGAAAAACAAGGTTCCCAGGTCGGCAAGGGTTGTATATCCATCCCAATGATATTCAGGTTTGTGATGATGCGACAACCGGTGTTAAGGTTTCAGTAAGGTGAGTAGCTTAAACAGGCATACCTAAGAGTCTGCCTATTTGAGATGTAACCATTTGTCATCTTCCTTCCTGTAGGGTTTTTGATACAGGAAGTTGATCTGCCCACCCCATCCCCAGCAATTTAGGCATTTAATTTTCATTAACCCTAATTAGCAAAATTAATAACGAAGGCTGTGGTGCAGGAAGGTGATGTTTATCGTCTATGAACCTTGCCAAAACAGGTACCAGGCATTCTAAGGAAGACTTACAATTTGGGTCAAATTCCCTAAGAAAGTACTTATACTTTATGTTTTGTGTTTTGTCTAAAACTGTCAGGCCTCCTCACCACTGCCTGTTTGTTGGCATGCTCCGATGGGAAGGTGACCTGTGTCTGCCGCTGCTCAGCCCCGTTCAGTTGACACCCACCCATCAGTCCCCAACAGCCCTTTAAACCAGCTGCTCCCTGCCCAGATAGGCTTTCACACCTGTCTCGGCAATTCTGGGAAAGATACATTGAAGTGCCTTTTCAAAATCCCCTGTTAATGATCTGGTAATTATTGTGGTGACTTTTCAATGAAGCGTGAAGTGCTCAGCTAGCTGTCAGCCAACAGGAACCCAAGGCACCAGGAAAAGGGACACAGCAAGGGAGAAAGGGACCCAGCCCTGCCCCACCTCCCGCAAGCCTAGGTCTGCCAGAAGTCACGAGGCAGCTGCCTCTGGCCAGAGAAGGGGCCCTGCCCGAGGCTGGCACAGCCACCAGGAGCAGACGACATCTCTGTCCTGGGACCAGCCTGACTATGGAATCCGGGGAAACTCAATGACCCTCAGATCCCCACCAGTACCACAGTAGGCAATGCTAAGTCCCATAGGGGGCTCCAGTAAGGAGCCACATTCCTACACATTGTCCTCAGTCCCCTCCCAGTCAAGCGCCTCCCTTCCCTTTGCAGTCCACATCCATGTCAAGCAGTCAGGCTGCCGTCCACAGAGAGGCCCCAGTGAGAGGTAGCGATGCTTCTCTCTCTGCGCCTTCAGATCCGCCACGCAGCCGGCTGGGGCCAAATGTGGTCCAGCCGTGCTGGGCACTCCCAACATCCAGCATGCCACCCACCTCCATACCTGTGCTCCCCAACATCTGGCTACCACTTGTCAGAGTAAAAGGAACACCCAGGGACCAAGACAGGGTGTTGGTTCTCTCACAGTCTGACCACCCTCATAACCGAGGAGGCTGCAAAATGCATCAAGGCATCCTAAACAGCCCGTGCTCTCGCACCATCTGAGCTGGCCCTCTGTCCCACCCCAAAAGAAGACAATCTAACAGAGGAGTGAAATGCCAGCCCCGAGCACCCAGCTGGATTCTTATGGAGCAGGGGACATCATCTGGTGCAGGTCCCTCACTTTACCAAGGGGACACCGGAACCCAGGAAGGTGACGTGATGTGCTCAAGATGAAAGCCTCACCAGCGAACGCCGGGGCTGGGACGAGAACCGGGTGCCCTGAGGCTTCTCCACCACTTGTGGCTTCTCCACCAGTGCCCACCTTGAGGCTGAAGCGTCTTCATATTTGCACGTGCTGGCTTGGCCTGGTCCCCCACAGCAGAGAGCAAAGGCTTTGGGGAGCGGGGGCAGCTAGGCCAGCTGTGCCCTTGGCCATCTCTGACATGCCCTTAGAACAGCGGTACCTGAACACAGCTGCCAGTGTGTGGACTGGTCCCTGACCTGGCTTCTGGGGTCCCAGATTCCAAGCCCTGATGGCCCAGCCCTGCTCCCAGTGCTGGCACCTTCTCTGGCCTGGAGACCATGGGAGTTGCCCTGGTTAGATGCTAGAAATTCTCTCTCCAAGCCATAGGCCCCTATCTGGATCTCTTTTTTTTTCTTTTAAAGATTGGCACCTAAGCTAACATCTGTTGCCAATCTTCTTTTTTTCTTCTTCTTCTCCCCAAAACCCCCAGTACATAGTTGTATATTCTAGTTGTGAGTGCCTCTGGTTGTGCTATGCGGGACACCACCTCAGCATGGCCTGATGAGTGGTGCCATGTCCACACCCAGGATCCGAACCAGCCAAACCCTGGGCTGCCGAAGCGGAGCGCACGAACTTAACCACTCGGCCATGGGGCCGGCCCCTGGATCTCTTTAGTGAGGCAAACCGAGCTGACGGGCAGTCTGGGATCCCCTTCTCTGCTTCTCTGGAGAAACTGGGAAGCAGATGACTCAGGAACAAACATTTTTATGTAACTATTTCCACCTCCGATAATGATATCATAATATGTGACAAGATAGAGAAAACATTGTTTACTAAAATGCCTCTTAGGGAGAGGCTTCTATGTGTGCAGAAGAAATGCTCCAAGTCAGTGGTTCCCAAAGTGTGGTCCCCAGGCCAGCAGCCTCAGCATCACCTGAGACCAGGTTAGAGATGCAGATTCTCAGGTCCCGCCCCTGCCTTGCTGAATCAGGGTGGGGTCCTCCAGGGGATTCGGGTGCAGTTAAGGCCTGGGAAGCCATTTGTGTGGAGGTGCGGAGGCTCGGGGACATGCTCCATGGCAAAAGCCAGGGCTCACCTGCCGTGTGAGGAGGAACGGTCTGCTTACCGGCCCGGCTCTCGTCCAGGAGTCTCAGGATGAACTGGGAGGTAGGAGCTGGGAAAGAACTGGATTGCTCTTCATGACAGAAGGGAAGGGCTGTTGAGGTTCCCCGAGGAAATCTAGACAGGAGGAGAGTGAAGTCAGTGAGGCTGGGAGCTGTGTGGGAAAAGGCAAGAGAGGGTGAGACCCCCATAACGAGGGTGTATCGGGGGACTCTCAGTGGAATCACAAGCCCTATGCAACGTGAGCCCTCCCTAAACGGCACAAAGCGTCAGTAAAAACCATATGAACAACAACAACAAAATGACTACAACTGGGATAGACAACTATGTACTGGGGCTTTGGGGAGGAAAAAGAGAAAAGGTTCTACGAACAGCCACAAGCGCGCAGGGGTGCTACACTCCTTGGACACCACGAGAGGGGCTAACTTCTGCCCCTCTGTCTCAATGCCATGCTAAGCAGAAAAGTCTTTGTAAACAGAATTGTCGCGGCTGCACACTCTTTCATAATGTGAACATTTCTACATTTCCTTAACTGTCCCCTTAGTTGGGGGCATTCGGTTGGTTTCCAATTTTTCACTATCATAAACAAGATATGATAAATGTCACGGATCTACAAACTTTTTCTTTATTCATGATTATGACCTTGGAATACAGATTCAAAAACTCTGAATGATTTGGTTCAAATGCCTAGTACTACAGAGAACAGAAATTTCACCTGAGACTGAGCAGGGGAGGGGAGTGGTACCCAGAGCATTTGTGAATATGATTAAGGAGAGAAAAAAGTGTCTTCTTCCTTTGAGAGAATTACAGGGTTTCAAAGAAGAGAACTGGGCACTCTCTGGGTTGTGAGGAGAGGGTAAAACTAGCTGTGTTAGAGCGGAAGGTGTCTGGAGCGACAATGAGAGGGCTGACAGATGTTGTACGTATTTGCTTGTGGGTGTCAGACACTCAACTCTAGCCAGCTTATGGTTTCACAACTGTGTTTTTAAACTCACAATCTGGGCAGAACAGGGACAGTGCTGATTTCAGTTCCAGCTAGATCTAGGGTCTCAAATGATGATGTCAGGCCTTCCTGCTTCTCTCAGCTCCTGCTGTTGGCCTTATTCCTTCCTACTGCAAGCAGGCTTTCTGTGTGCAGGGGGAAGGTGTGGGAGAGCAGCAGACAGCTCTCCAGTCTCACTTCATCCCAGTGATTCCACAGGAAAGACATGCCTGCTTCATGTATAAAATCCCAAAGATCTCTGATTGGCTGGTTTGGGTCACAAGTTTGTTTCCTGGGCAAATCAGTAAGCTTATGTGGTTGGGGAACCATGAGTGGCTAGGCCTGGGTCACATGTCCATCACTGAAACCGGGGGCCAGGTACTCTAATTGGTAGCCCCACCAGAACCATATGGAATTAACGAACAGCAGATACCCAAGAGAAAATGATGTCCTTTCCAGAAGAAAGTGGCAGACAAAACCATAAACATTCACTAACTGTATTCCTTTGTACCTTGGCAGCTACAGTTGATCCATTGCAATATTTTCTCCTTGAGCCCAGACATGGCCTCGGAATCCTTCTTAACACAGCACTCAGGCAACCACTTTCAGCCAATCTAAGTTAGCCTACAAGACAAAAGTGAATTGCTATTTTGGAGCTTAAAACAAGATGTCAGATCATTGATGAGCAAGAGACTACAGTAGATCAGATTTAAGGAAGGTGTAAGCCACAGGGGGTCAGTTCAGAATCCCTATGGGTCCTCTCTGGGAGACGCCCACTCCTGGGACTGTAGATGTCAGTCTCTGTGACAGTGAGATGGTTGGGCCTTGGTGGAGTATGGGACATCGTAAGTGTCTCTGTTTGCCCAGGGGAGGCCAAATAATGTTTTCTTTTCATTACTGTCACTCAAAAGTGAGTTGCAAGTGGGTAGCTCAGGAGATCTCTGGGCTTCATTCATTAGATTTCCACAGGAGAAGTTTGATCCCTCCCACCTGTGAGCTCCATCACTTGGTCAACAGTCAGCCAGAGGGAATAAGCCACGCTAGGCCAGGGTGACAGGGCTGGGACCACAGGCCCAGCTCCAGAGTCACACTGGGCTCTACCGTGGGGAGGCTCCTGGTCCACAGCTCCAAAGTGCACAGGGCAGAGCAAACCCAGGCACAATCAAGATGGAGAGTGCCATCAAGGGAGCCAGCTGGGTGACAGGGACAGGTATAGCTGGCCCCGGGTGGTCCTGGTACACAGCTTCAATCAGGTGGTCACATGGGGATTCTGATTCCATGTGAGGGAGTGTGGGAGTTTGGCCATCAGGCCAGGTACCAGGAAGCATGACCTCATGGCCCTGACAGCCTCGCTCTACTGTGGGCTCCAAGTTCTTGCCTACCCCTGTGACCTTCTTCAGGACTTGAGGCCGGGGTTGGTCCAGCCTGGGCTTCCAGCTCCCACCCGAGTCTCCTGGGGCCTGACCCAGGTCCTCAGCAGAGCGGGGAGGTGCAAGGCTTAATTGCCTCAGAAAGGAAGCTTGCTGAGAGCGCTGACACTCTCGGCCCGGCAATCAATCCTCCAGCCTGTACACAGAGCTGGAAGTGCTCTTCCGGCCGTTAGCAAGCCTGTCATTTTCCTCCTCTTCTCTGGGTAAATTAGAAAGGCTCTTTGCTCTCACTTTGCAACTGGACCTCCTTTTTAAAGTGCAGCTGTAAAAGTATTGCAAAGGGCTGGACTTAGAGAGACGCCATGTCAGACGCCCAGTCGGCTAAGGGGCTTCGCTTCCAGCCCTGGTTTTGCTGCCAACCAGACTGTGATCTTTGGCAAGGCCAGCACCTGTCTCTGGGCCTCGGTTTCCTCATCCACGAAATGAAGAGTCTGGCTGAGTGGCCTCTGGGATCCCTTCCAGCTCTTGAGGCCACTGGATTCCCGGTTTGCTTGATTGCTAGGAATGGCTCCATGCAGACAGGAGTTTAGCTTCTTTTCAGTCAGGAACTGTTGCTCTCTCTTTATTTCCCACATACAAGGACCGATCCCTGCAGGTGCAAATACACCATCTTCCGCAGCAGTGTGGGGACAGAGGACGAGCCACATGCCCAGATTTCTGGAACTAAAAGTGCTGGCCACACTCACTGCATACCACCTCCTGCAGGCCCTGAACTAACTGTTCTCCAACAACGATCTCATTTAACACTCCCAACAAAACAACTAGTAAGCCCATTTCACAGACAAGAAAACTGAGACGCAGCAAGATAAAGCAGTGTATCAGGCCAGGTCTGCCCAGCTCCCAAGGCCATGCTCATAGCCACAACTCTCTCAAATCCCCAAATCTGGGGACTTTAGTAGAAAAAGAACATATAGATCAATGGAGCCCCCTCAACAAGAAGATAACGCAGGCAGGACACCTGCAAGGCTGAGCGCACCCGGCAAACGGCAGGCGGCCCCCAGCATTTGCGGGCCGGGAGACCCAGCAGGAAGGGAGCTGTCAGAGGGCATTCCCATGTTCCTGGCTCTCTTGCTTCCCCCATCTCCTCCCCACCTCTGGAGAGGGAGTGCCAGTTATTTCATTTGAAGGGAGTGTTTGGTGCTGTTTAGACACAGCATGAAGTAAATTTTTATGACGCTTGCTGGTGGCTGAGGGGAGCATTCAGTTGCCTCGGCTCTGATGACGCTGCTCTGCCTCCCAGGTTTGCCATATGGAAATCCTCAGAATTTACAATTATAAATGCTAAATGGCATTTTAATTTTTTAGAAGGTGGATATACGAACCACAACATATCAATTGCTTTAAGGGTTGTCTTTCCAAAAAAAATTACTTTAAGTAGCACGCAAAGCTATAGAAATGCACATTACCATATTACCAAAAAAAGGTTTAAAGAGATCATTTCAGGTAGGTTCGTCTTACGGATGTTAACCCTAGAAATAAGTGTTTAATGGCGGTTTTTTCACAGACACTACTCTGCTGTCCCCATCAGTGTGGTTTAGTCACTATCCCTGGTCTTTTTTATCTTTCTCTTGAATACCTCACCGAGTAATTTGTAAATACATTATTTTAAAATCCATCAATGTCATACCTGAAGGCTCCCAGCATCTCAGGAGCTGCAGGCTGGATGTCCGCCCAGCTGAGCAGGCCCTGCCAAATCCCAGGGTCCCAGCCAGCACTTACTGAGCGTCTGCCCCGGTGGCCCTGGAGACAGAGCAGTGGACATGGGGAACAGCAGTCCAGGGTTTCATGAGCAAGGATGCATCGGATTGGGAAAACATCCTCCCGAATTGCAGTGTTGGTGGAACTTACGAACTGGGACCAAGTGCAGGGTAGACGCAGTTGGAAGGGTAGCGAGATGCAGATGACCCTGCCCTTGTCCCAGGCCCAGCCATCCTGCATCTAGCTCCTCATCAGTAAAACAGACGATAATCCCCAACTCACAAGGGTTGGTGACAGCAGAGGCCATTTAGCAGGTCTGTGAGTAAGAACGAGGTTGTCAGACGAGGTTCAAATCTCGCTTCCACCACTGTGTGACTTCATAAAGCAACTTAATCCCTCTGAGCCTCAGTTTACCTCATCTGTAAAACGGCCATGTAATGTCTTCCTCAGGGGACTGTGATGAGGATGCATTTTAAGTACTTGACACCATGCTTGCCATGACAATCATCATCTGGCGAAGATGCCAGTGCCAGGCCGAGCCCAGGAGAGGTGCTCGCTTGGCAGGCACTTCTCTCCCCTCAAACCCTCTCACACATGTACCGCCCGGGACCCACTTCCCTACTCCCAGTTCTCTCTTCGACACTCTCCACCTTTCCATAACAGCACAGGCTTCTTATTTTCTCAAAAAATGTTTGCTGAAATTTTATCAGAAGCCCAGCACGATGCTCGGGTCTCTGGATAGAAGAGAAAAGCCAGCAGTGGCCCTGCCTGCCACACACATGGTATCCATAAGCAAACAATGGGTGCACCAGACAGAACGCTTGAGCTGGCAACAGCAGCCTCGTCCCCAGGCAGCCCGTGATTAATTGCCCAAAGAATTGTGCGGGCGTAATTGCGGCCAGGACTGGGCGGCGGCAGACCTCCCTTCTGACCACAGCGGTCAGGAAGGATAAACACACACACTCTGGAGATCCGGCTGAGACACGGGGAGCTCACGAAGCTGCGTGGGGGCAGAGGGCGCAGGATTGTCAGGATCTCATCACCCCAACACTGGGGGTTTCCAGACACCCCCCAACCCAGTGCCCAGCTCTTCAGCTGCTCCTGCGACCCATCCTCGAGGTTCCCATCCGAGGAATGGGATTCCTCAGGGAATGAAAAGCATTCTTCTCCCACTTCCAAGTGCTCCCCCTACCCCGCCCGCCAACACATACACCAACACGAATACCATCACCTTCACCAGGGACTGACGTGGTTGAACCGCTGGTTTCTAAGCCTCTCTTTTCTCTGTCCTATTTTTATAATTGTTCTGTGGTTCTTGCTTATTTCTCAGTCTACAATGTGTTGCAATAACATCTTAATTCCACCCACAGCACAGGAGAGGACTAATGAATTACTGTACCTGTAGCGCTCCGAGGTCGCTGGATGAAAGGAATTCAAATAACCCAGGGAGATCTTTTTGTTAAGTATTTCTTCAACAGGCGGCATAGGAAACATTAGCTAACGCCGGGGAGGGACATAGGAAATGAAGAGAATGAAATTACTGCGCATCATTACTAATTACTTTCTTTGAAGTCCTCAATAATTGTTTTTCCAACAACACAGTTCATGTAGAAAAATTTGCTTTCTGTATTTTATGGACAAAATATAAATTTATCCAAGTCTTCCATTCGTTTTATAAAAATTACAGGATTGGGGGAAATGGAAGATGTGTCATTTGCCTTTCTTCCTTAAATCTGACAGCAGGGAAGTCTGGGCTCACCTGGGATGTTCTTCATAGTGCGGCTGGGGGTCAGGGTTTCTGAGATCAATTCAGCTTTCCCTACCAAATGCTGCCCCAGCTGGTTCCCCAATGGAGCCAGGCTCCTCAGCCAGCCCTGGGCAGGGCAGGGCTGGGCCAGGTGGGCAGCCCCTGGCCCACAGGCTGGTAGGGACTGCATGACTCTTGCTGCTGTAGACCTGGTGTGGCTCTGTCCACCTCAGCTCCCTAAACTGCTGCCCCCATCCTGCCTGCCAAGTTGGTAAGGGCAACCACCCTTTTGAATTCACTCACTCATTCATCCAGTATTTACTGAACCCCGACTACATGCCACGCACTGTTCCGTTGAACAAAACAGATAAAGCCCCGCTTTGGGGGCGTACACATTCCAATAAAGGGAGACACATTAAACAAAGAAGAAAAATATACAGTACGTCAAGTGACGATAAATACCAAGAAGACGCAAAACAATGCACAAGAGGACAGAGAGTGAGGGGGATGGTAGGAATGGACGCTGTTTTACAGAAGTGGTCCAGAAAGGCCTCTCTGAGGAGCTGACGTCTCAGCAGAGATCTGAGGGAAGCGAGGGAGCAAGCAAAATGAATATCAGAAAGAGCAATGCCCAGACAGAGGAAAGAGCGTGGGCAAAGGCCTCGAGTCCAGAGTTTGCTCAGCGTTCCAGGAACAGCAAGGAAGCCAGTACACCTGGAACAGAGTGAGTGAGGGGGAGTGAAGGTGGTAGGAGATGGACCAGAGGGAGCCAGGAGCCACAGCTTATGAACAAGGCTCTGCTTGTAGCTCGGGCAGGATTCTTAACCAGCAGCCCAGCTCACTCAGTCAGCAACTGCGTGTTGAGCACCCTATGCCCCTGGCTGGCCCTCCAGGCCCCTGCTGGGCTGAAGGGAAGAGCGCAAAGAGGTAAGGCTTGCAAGAGGGGGTGGGACTTTCATATCATTCTCTCTCTATTTTTGTTCAGAAGTAATACTTGTATATTTAGAGAATATGAAAAATGTAGAAAAGAATAATGATTCAGATGCAGAAAAGTAAAGATGTCAGGTAGCTGGGATTACCATTGTTTCCTCCAGTTTTCCAACCTTTGTACAATGCTGTTATGTTTATAATACACATATCTTTAAAAAGAAACTCAACCAAAAGTTTTTCTCAAAATAAAATAGAATTGCATCGTATACTTTTTCAACTTATGCACAGACATCGGAACCAAACCTCCCTGAGATGAGACGCCACTAGCTTTTCAAAAAGCACAAACCTTTGAGTCAGTGGAGACTGGACTGATGTTCTGGCTTTGCCACCAGCTGCTGTGGGACCTCAGGCGGGTTACTCACCCTCTCTGAGCCTCAGGTTTCTCATCATAAAATAGGTATCACATCCATGGGATCATTGTGAAGAGCAGAGAGGATGTGTGTAAAACACCTGGCGCGTGGAAAGTACTAAATAAATGGTGGTGAGTCAGAGCTATCATTAAATAGGCAAAGTTGTTCAATCAACAAACACTGAAACTCTATCCTGTGCTAGGGACCTTTCCATTGGTGGCAACACAGCAGTGAACAAGTCAGAAAATAATTTAATTCTTATTTTCTTTTCCCAAACTCCAATTCTCCAAAAAGACAGCAAGTCAATCTAGAAAACACAGAAGCCATGTAACATCCCTCTGAACAAGAGCAAGGTGTCGGAGCCTGCGGCACGTACTGGAGAAGGGGGCAGAATGCAGGTTGCCAGGACACAGGGCTACACTGGCACAACTTTGCAGCAAGCTGCTTGGCTCCTCAAGTGTGTCTGTGCCTTCTCTCTTTGCTGCCTCCTTCCCCGCTGCACAGACACAGCCAGGAAGCCCCCTACTCTGGTTGAAACCTTAGAGAGCATCGCCCAGGTCACCGACAGTGGCCTCCCTCAAAACGCCTTCCTTGAAGGCGGGGGCTCCCTCAGCCCTCAGGATGACCTGATGTTCATGGGCTGTTCACCAGACCACAGGCTCAGACCAAAACAGTCCCGCACAGCAGATTCTGTTCCTGCACGCAAGGCTTAAACGAAAAGTCGTTTTTAATAAAAGCATGGAAATTCACATTCTCCTCTCTGACGGCATCCCTTCCCGACAGAAAACTGATGAAGGTTTAAACAAAAGGGGAGTCCTATCTGCTCAGGAAAGTTAACCGTTTCTGTAGAAACCGAAGACCATGCCAGACAGTCAACTTGGGCTGGACTGATAGTAACTACCTCATGGCAGCCACCAGCAGGCACCTCTGTGGACAGATGGACAGACACAGGGCTGAGCGCATTTATCACTGCACCCCTGCAAGGTAGGTACAGATGACCCCACCGTTCAGACAGAAACCAAGGCCAAGTCAGCATAATGACTCGCCCAGCGGGAAAGAGGCCAGGTAGGTTCAGAACCTACATTTTGAGGCTATTTTTACATCTTCCTCAACCTGGTTTTACTCATTGTTAGAAACAATGGACAAAAGCTTCCAGAAATCTAATCCCTCACTACGCCCAGGATACTTAGCCGGTTTAGAGGGAGGGCCATTTTGTCTAAGGCCTGTTTCTGCTCCCTCCATCCCCTCCCTGTCAGACTCAGAAACAGATGGCGCCCATGGAGCACGACGGCTTCAAACCACAGGGTCGTTCCCTTAGAGAGGGGTCGCTGAAATTTTTTGTAAATTTAAGAGGCCAAATTACTAGGAAAGTGTTTTTTAAATATAAATCTGATCGTGGCACGTTATTCTTAGCAGGTGTTCTCCCAGTTACTATCCTAACGGGGAGGAACTGTCCCCTAACACGGATTCTACCGACAAACCTTTCATAAACGCGCGCTCACTCGACCTGCCAGGCGGGGCCCTGCATGGGCGGGCGGAGCAGTTTCCGGGGAGTGAGACTCCCCACCAGGAGGGACCCCGGGAGCCGCAAGGCTGCCGGCCTCACATTCCCACCAGCCTGTCTCCACCTAAAACTCGGTAGAGTTCTTGGAATTTTCCTTAGGGGTTGCTCGCTGTGAGGAGACTTATCAAGTGGGTCTATTGTGTTGAAGACGCATTTAAAACCAGCCAAACTCTCCGCGTTTGAGATTTTAAGAGACATCGTGGAAAGGAAGAAAGAGCTAGTGGCCCAGAGTTCTGGTTCTGGCTCATGGGGTGGTCGGAGGAAGTCTTTTCCTCTCTCTCTCGGCCTCAGTTTCCCCTTCTGTAAACGAGCAGAGTCCAGATGAGCGCTAAGGTGAGACATCGCAGGCTCCCCTGAGGCGTGACAAAGGGATGATGTCCGGGCCCTCCAGCCCCCCTCCGCGGACGCAGTTCTCGCAGAGCGCCTTCTCGGCTTGGAGTCGGACTCCGGCAGGGTAGCTGGGCCGCCGGGCGCGAGCGCAGGCTTCCCCGGCCCGGCCGACACCCCGAGCCGGCCATCCGACGACACCGCCCCGCCTGGGCCGGCCCCCGCGCCGGCCTCTAGGTCCCCCGCCGCGCCCTGCCCGCATCCCTCCCGGCCCGCACGCGGCGATTCCCCGCCCCGCCCCGCCCCGGCGCGTGGAACCCCGCCCTCCCCGGAGTCTCCGGGCCCGCGGGCGGAGGGCGGGGCGGGGCGCGCGGGAGGCGGAGCCCAGCCGGGGAACCCTGCTCCGGGCGAGCGCCGGGCCCCGCAGAGCAGCCCGGCCGTCCGAGGGCCCCCGCGTCGGGGGCGGCGGGAAACCCCAGACGCAGCTGGGCCGGGAGGGATCCCCGCGCCGAGCGAGCCTCCACCGCCGCCGCCTCCGCGCCGCCCCCGCGGGCTGCCAGGTGCCCGGCGCGCCCTCGCTCCGCCCGGCCGCCCGCTCCCGCGGTCCCGCCGTCCGCTCGCCCGCCGGGCTCCCACGCGCCATGCAGCCTCCGCCAGCCCCGCGCGCGTAGGCGCCCGCCGCAGGCCATGCTGCCCCTGCTCGCCGCGCTGCTGGCCGCCGCCTGCCCGCTGCCGCCCGCCCGCGGCGGGGCCGCGGACGCGCCGGGCCTCCTCGGTGCGCCCCCGAACGCCTCCGTCAACGCGTCGTCTGCGGGCGAGCCCGCCGCCCCGCGGCTGCTGACCTCGGCGGCTCCCGGGCCCCCCGAGCGCCCGGGCCCGGAGGAGGCGGCGGCGGCGCCGTGCAACATCAGCGTGCAGCGGCAGATGCTGAGCTCGCTGCTCGTGCGCTGGGGCCGCCCGCGGGGCTTCCAGTGCGATCTGCTGCTCTTCTCCACCAACGCGCACGGCCGCGCCTTCTTCGCCGCCGCCTTCCACCGCGTCGGGCCGCCTCTGCTCATCGAGCACCTGGGGCTGGCGGCGGGCGGCGCGCAGCAAGACCTGCGCCTCTGCGTGGGCTGCGGCTGGGTGCGCGGCCGCCGCCCCGGCCGCCTCCGGCCCGCCGCCGCCGCCGGCGCCACCGCCGGGGCGCCCACCGCGCTGCCCGCCTACCCCGCGGCCGAGCCGCCCGGGCCGCTGTGGCTGCAGGGCGAGCCGCTGCATTTCTGCTGCCTGGACTTCAGCCTGGAGGAGCTGCAGGGCGAGCCGGGCTGGCGGCTGAACCGCAAGCCCATCGAGTCCACGCTGGTGGCCTGCTTCATGACCCTGGTCATCGTCGTGTGGAGCGTGGCCGCCCTCATCTGGCCGGTGCCCATCATCGCCGGCTTCCTACCCAACGGCATGGAGCAGCGCCGGACCACCGCCAGCGCCGCCGCCGCCGCCCCCGCCGCCGTGCCCGCGGGGACCACCGCCGCCGCCGCCGCTGCCGCCGCCGCCGCCGCCGCTGCGGCCGTCACCTCGGGAGCGGCGACCAAGTGACCCGCCCCGCTCCTCGCCGCGTCCGCCCTGTGTCCGCGCTCTCGGGTGCCTTTCCCGCCGGGAGACTCGCCGGTGTGCTTCGTGCCGTAGTGACCGTTAGTTCTTCTTCCGGGGAGGGGGCCGCCGGAGAGGCCCCAGCGTGTCGGAAGAGCAAGGTTTGTGCGTGCTTCTGGGTCCGAAAAGCAGATGAAGCCCTTGCACTGAAGGGTGGGAGCCCAGCCCGGAAGACAGAGGAGGGAAATGGGGCCCTTTCCCCTCGATCGCACCCCCCTGCCCTCCTCCCTCCCCGCACCCACGTGCCCTATATTCATGGCAGAAAATGACCAAATCCTGTGTATTTGTTTTATATATTTAATAACTGTTTTAAACGAAAGTTTTAGTAAAAAAACAAAATCAAATTGCTATTGCTATAGTAAGAGAAGCTCTTTGTATCCGAACATAGCATTAGAAGTTTGTTGTTTTTTTAATTTATTTAAAAGGGGGGGCATGGGTTGGATTTCACACCGATATATTGTTACCGCTGACAATGAACTTTATGAACCTTTTCCAAGTCGATCTATCCAGTGACGTGGCCTGGTGGGCATTTCTTCTTGTATTTCTGTGGTTTTTTGGCTTTTAATACAGACGTTTTCCTCCAGAGCTGCGTATGTAGCTTTTTCTTTATTTGGTTTAGGGAAAAGCAATCCAAGAATTGCAATATGTTCCCCTGAGACATGAGGGAGGGAACCTCCAAAAAGTTAAAGGAGGGCCGATTCTGCCCCCCGGACTGTCGGAGAGCTGGAGAGCAAACTGTATTACTTCCCTAATGGCGACTGTTCGCCTCTCACCACACTGCCCCCCAACACCCACCCAGCCCACCCCTCAGGCGCACTGCCTCTTGTCGTGGTGGTATACAGGGGCTTATGTGATTTGCCTTTTACCCACTGCCCCAAGCTCTGCAAAACACCAGGACAATGCCAACAGGGTCAAATCAGTATTTCCTCTGAGCTGGGTGTCTTTCATGGAAGTGACTCATTTTAAAAGGCACGCAGGTTTCTTTATCGTGTGTGTAAACCTTAGCATATGAGCACATTTCAAAAGCTGGCTTTAACATCTGAGATATTATTTTGGCATTAGGACTTTTTTAAAGATAAACTCTGGAGAACTAGACCGTTCACAACCTCAAGGCTTTCCTGTCTCCTGGTTTCTGGGCAGTTGTTTCAGATTCTTCCTGGTTTTTAGGAGAAGAGTAAATGAAAAGTCCTTAAAATGACTTGATATAAAGACCATTTTAAAAGCTTTTAAAAAAGACTTTAAAGGCCACTTTCTCCTGCTCCATCTCCTCCTCACTTTTGAGTGAATACTTAATATTGATCTAAAACTATAGTTCTCAAAGTGGGGGCCCTAGGCCAGCACCATCAGCCTCCCCTGGGAACTTGTGAGAGACGCAAAACTGGGGCCCTACCCAGGACTTACTGGACTGGAAACTCTGGGGGCCCAGCAAGCTGTGTTTGAACAAGCCCCCTAAGGGATTCTGATGTGTTCCCGGTTTGAGAACTGTGTGCTGATGGAAGGGAACCTTCAAAATACAGAGCCTCCTTTTATCTTGAGATGTCTCTAGTATATCAAAGAAATGGGACCCTTTTCTCACCAAATCTGTCTGAAGGAGAGGCGGGGTCCCTGCCCTGCAGCTCCGGCTGCCCTTCTGGCTCTTTGGGGTCCAGGGCTATCTCTGGCAGAGGCCAGCCTCTGAGAGAGGAGGGGGCAAGGGTGGTGGTCTTCCTCTGTCTCCTTGTGCAGACGCTGAAGAAGTTCACTGTAACACAAATCTGCTAGCCTTGCAAGTCACTGTAAATCTTATGCCCCAAAGCAACGTGGGTTGTGAACTGCCCTCTTTTCCAATGCCGTGGTAACTAGCAGGAGAAAATCAATAACCACCAACCTTGGTCAATTTTAATATAATCATGGCATTTGTAATTCTGAAAGTCACATCAAGTATTCCTAATACAACACACACACACACACACACTCGCAATCACCCTCCCTGCTTTTTTCTAAGAGGGAAACTGAGGGTCAGAGAGGTTCAGCATTTTTTCTGCAATCACACAGCTGCACGAGGAGGCAGAGCTGAGACTAAACCTTGGTCTTCTTCTGCCTCCCTGACTGGTATTTTTTCACCGTCAGAAATTTCCTTTCCAAGGAGAATTAGGAACTAGCCTCTCAAGGTCTGCTCCTCTGTTGACCCACCACCGTCACTGTCAGATTCTGTGCAGCCATGAACCCAAAGGAGCCAGAGAACATTAATTTTAAATGAGATACTCAGGCACTTAATAAAATGTATATGTGTGTGTATGTGTATATATAATATAATATATACAGGCTATATATACACATACCTACACAGGATGGGCCCTAATGAATGCTTATTTAGGGTGGGTCTGAAATATCAATATCTGCAACAGTAGATCTTCCTGAAGGGAGATTTTCAGACTTGCCAGTGGAACCCGCGCGTGTGTGTGTGTGTGTGTGTGTGTCTGTGTTTCATATATATACATATAACCCGTGGACTGGTTAGTTCTCCTTACGCTGGCATTGGCTGCTTTCCGAGAGCCAGAGCTCCAAGCAGGGGACCACAAAGTGAGGATGGAGCCTGTGTGCTTCTGGTCTCTTAGGTTGGGATCATCCAACATAAAGGATGTCAGGTCCTGGTGGGCTCAGGCGTGGGGTCTGTTTCCTCTAGTCAGGTTGATCTGTGTCATCTCAGTAGGGAAACACTTCCAAGTTGCATTTTACTAAAGGTCAGGCAGCAATTCTTTCATAGAAAGGGAGTGTGCCACTGTAGCCTGTGCATGCGCATGTGTGGAATCCCCAGGTTCCAGCCCTCTCTGAAGGCCTCTTGGGAACACCTTGAGTTGCTAGTGACATAGCTCAGCCCTCAGTATGAATCATCATTCTCAGCTATTCTTGCTTCTCCTGAGAGAGAGTTTTCCCCGAGGAGCATGTGTACCCACCCTTCAAAATCCAGCCACTGCCCTGGGCTGCCCTGCTGGGTTGTCTACATTCATCATGAGAGCAGCCCTGGCCCCAGTCTGAACACCTGTCTCCCCTAGGGCTTGCCTCAGCGAAGAGAGCCACTCCGCCCAAAGCCACACGCTCTTCCTGGGGCACCACATCCAGTGCCGGATCAACAGGGGGCATGAAGACCCGAGCCTCTCGGGATGGCTCTGAAGGGTCCTCCCACCTTCAGGACTCCTCCCAGGACTGGCTCAGCCTTCACTGAGAAACCATGGAGGTTTGACTTCTCCCTCTGCCACTCCTGCCTCCTCCCATCCTTTCCCTCCCACAGGTGTTGGTCCAAAAGCACTGCCTAATAAACCTGCACACTGATCTCTAGCATACAGCCTGCTTCTCCAGGAACCCAGCCTGTGATGGGCAGTTTACCTAACAAGATGCAGGCTTGCTCTAGCCACATGGTCCTTAGGCACATAGGAGCAGATCACATAAATGATTATCATTTGTATTCTTTTTATACAGAGCACACATTCTATTTTTGTCTCTTCCATTTGGATTGCTCTGTAATATCCACCATCAGTGGTGATAGGGGAAATGTCCCCAATTCCAATTCTTGTTTAATCGTTGCACCTCATAGACGTACATGTCGAAAGAAGAAGGCCTCTTTCTTTCCATCTCAAATCATGGTGTCAGTCAGGATACACTGGGCTATGCTGCAATAATAAGCAACCCCAACATCTCAGTGCCTTAACGCAAGAAAGATTTATTTCTTACTCATGCTACATGTCCAAAGTTGGCAGGGGTTGTGCCCTTTGGAATGGCTCAGGGATCCAGGTTGGATGTGACCCAGACTCGACAATGTGGCCACCATCATCTAGTGAGGAGAAAGGGAACTCTGGAGGGTCCCCCACGGCAATTCAGTGCTCCAGCCAAGAAGTCACATCCTGTCTGCTCATTGCTTAGAATGAGTCATGTGGCTCCACCCAATGACAAAGGAGCCAAAGAGGTCATGTTTCCAGGTCTTGAGAAGAGAGGAGAACCTGATATCAGGAGCAGGATTGGTGAAAACAACCCCCAACCCCACTGTACCTGTGTGATCTACATGTCAGCCAGAAGATTTCCGGGACTTTGGTGAGTAGACAAAGGATTCATCCTAGGAGCCGTCTCCAGACTCTCCTCCTGTGACACCCACCTCACCTGCCCGCACTGGAAGCTAGGTTGCTGCTCCTGGGGATTTCAAAAGTGATGAGGTCATCAGCCTGGTGGCTGTTCCAATGTTTGGCTAAATTGGGTCTCAAAAGAACTCAATCTGGCAAAAATACACTCTGGATCCCTGTGATGTAGGAGTCATCTAGAGAGAAGGATGCGAGGAAAGTTAGAATTAAAATGGGGAGAAAGAAATGGAGAGGTCAGAACAGACATCCCATCTCTCCTGGCCTAGTGCCTTGCCCACCGTATAGAAATGACTAGTTCATTGACATTAGGGGCAAGAAGAGGGCTGGTCTTCACTATTCCAATTCTCTCCTTTCACTGGGGAAAAAAATCATCTATCTCTCAGCTAGCTTTAGAGGTTTAGGACTATAAGGATTGGGAGAGTTAAGAACAACGTGAAGACATTCAGTGCATGGCTGAGTTGCTTGTGACATAGCTACATGGTTTCCCTCAGAACACTGGGAGGGACAATCACTAAGGAGAGAATGGGGAGGACAGAAACCAATGGCCCAGGTTGCTGTGAGCTGGCTGCTGTGGTGCACACCTCACCCAGGGTGCGCGACGGTGCCTGTTCTGGGCATCCACCTCCCAGGTCCCGTCTGGTCTCTTGCTGGTAGACCTTCTGCTGTCCCCACCCCCAGCCTAGGACTGTCCTCTTTAGACAGTGCCTTTGCCTTCCCAGCTCTGCCACACCTCTCCTGGGGCGTCTCTCCCAGTGTACTACTTGGTCCTTCTGGGCTGGGAGTGCCAAACCATTTTGCCACGTGGAGGACTGCTTGGGGAACAAATGAAAACCACCCTCACTGGGGGCAGGCGTCTACGAGGTATCACCTCTCCCCTCTTCCCTGCTGGGTCTCCCGCGTTAGGGCAAACCTGCTCCGCGCAGTCTGCTCACACCAGGTGCCGGCAGACCCCGAGGTCACCCAGATCCTCCGTCTGCTCCAGGTCTTACCCCGGGGACAAGCATTCCTACTGGCCTCCAGCTCTCAGAACTTTTCAAGCACCCCCTCTTCTCTGGGCCTACAACCTCCCATCGGCTCTGAGTAACTTTGTAAACTTACACGATTTTTCCTCGTGACTCTCCTGGCAGCTCTGTCACTGTCAGCTGCTGCTGTTTTCTCCAAGGCCGGGGTCTCACAGACAGCAGGCCAGGACGGCTCACAGACATCTTCTTCTCCGCTATCAGCCTTCTGAAGAAGCTGCCGCCTTCTCTCATCCCTCACTTCCAGCTGTCAAGACCGCGCAGTCCTCAGCGCAGCCTTGGCATCCTCCACACCAGTGCTGACACTTGGTGATTTCTGCCGCACCCCAGGACAGGCCAGGGTCCAAAGGGAGTGTTCTGAGGAGGATGGCGATGTACCATGGTCCTCGGAGGACTGGTGGCGTGGCTGCTGCCCACTCAGGACAATTAAGGGCCTCTCTCCTCGCCTCACCCTCAGCATTTTCCTGGTGCTCTTAATGCCTGAGTATTCCCAGAACTGTCTCCTAAAGTACCAGGATGAGCTTCTGTGCCACTAAGGACCCATTAGTTTTGTGCTTTCATAGGGGCAGTGATGAAAAATCAAAATAATTAGCATCATGATAACACCCTAAGGTCTCATTGTGACTCTGAGTAACAAATTGTCTCCTGGAAAGCATTTTTGGCACTCGAGGAAAGAGCCTACCTTCAGGGTGCCCCCCAGGACCTGCTTTGCTCTGTGACCAGCAAGGAGTCCTTGCTGCACTCCTGAGAAGTTCTATCAGATTTTCTGAGGGTCACTGTGCATGGGAGGGGGCCTGGAGAGATTGCGGACCACCTACCTCTCCATCTCTCCACAGGTGTGACCCCTGGACTGCAGATTTAAACCTGTTCAGAACCTCAAAGGGCCCATCAGCCCCGTCCTGGTGGCTGTGCCGCTTTTTCTCTGAAACACCGCTGTTTCCCAGCAGCCAGCGACAACATGATCGCTCTATTCCAGCCTACCTCCTTGTACGCTAGCCACTCTGGAGTTAAATCATGATTCACACTGTGTAGTAAACTAGAATTGTGATTTTATCATTCTAGTATCTTGGAATCTTATCTGAGAATATTTTATGATCATAGGAGTGTCCTGGCTCAGGTTAAATTCCATATTCTTTGGTTCTCCCAGTAAGAAAGATGCTCTTTTCTTACCTTAGGCTTTAACATTATACCCTTCCTCACCTCTTGTGTTTCTAGATAATTCTGCAGCTGCTAGAGGAGGACTACACTGGCAATAATAATAATAAATATCCTCCTCCTCCTCATCATCATCATAAATACTATTATTATTAATTGTTATTTTGAACTGGAGAGGGGAGGAGAAGTAGAAGGAGAAACAATAACTAAGAGGAGAGAAGAAAAAGAGAATTAAGAACACCAGCTTCAAAAACAGAAAAATTATCCCTACCTCATCCCACCCCCACCCCCACATACACTTGCAAAGGCACAAAGGGCGGAGAAATGGAGAGGATGACCTGGAGCCACAGCCCAGGGCAGGTGAACAATGCAGAGTAGGAAGGGCATCTGGGGGCCCTACAATGGGGTGCCTACCAGCAGGAGAACATGGGGACAACAGCTGGCAGTAGGTTCTGTGGCTTCCCTCCTGGAAGGGCTCTCCCTGAGGGGACAGCTCCAGCAACTCTCCTCTGCCCAAAATGGTTTTCTCCTTCAGTCCTGGGAGGCTCGAGTCCCCGAGGTCCGAAATGTCTCACCCCCCCGGGGAGGCACATCCCACGGTGCCAACTCCAGACTGTCACCGTGTCCCCGACTGGGCAGCCGCGGTGGTTAACACGGCTCAGAAAGGACACTTTGCTAAGAGCATCATCCTTGAACTCTTGCTTGAACACAGATAATGTATATTCATTGTAGAAGTGCTAGAAATGTTGATAAATAAAAAAGAAGGAAAAGAGAACTTGTCTTTCTAACACCCAAAAATAAGCCCTGCACGCATTGTGGTGCGTGTACTCCCAGTCTGTTTTTACCCATGTATGTGCATCCATGAGTAATTATTTATGTTAAAAATGGGATTGTGCTGTACTTAACCGTTTTCAAAACTTTTCTTTGTTACACATGCTACGTCATTGAAAAAATAAGAAAATGCCCTTCATAAGATCAATGAATCGATATCAGCGACAGTCCCAGACCCCCAGTGACCGTGGCTAATATTTATCGACAAATGTTCATGCCTATGTTATACATGTGTTAACCCCAGCAGGCACCTCTTCTCAGCGCCCTGCCTGCCCCACCCTCGGGTCCCCTCCCTCTGCAGAGGGTAGTAGAGGGCTTCTCAGGGCAGGAGGTGTTAAAGGCTGTCTTCCTGATGTGCGGGTCCAACATCAGCAGCGCAGGATGTTGACACTTGTCGGAGGGCCAAAGGCTTGACGGAGATGGGGCGGTGGGGAGGTTGTCTATCTTTCCCATCCCAAGTTTATCATCTCCAGACACATATCGAAGCCAGACCCAACTTACCACCCCTCCTGGAGACATGTCTCCGCTCTTGTGTCTGAGATTTCTGATGAGGCTGATAAGGAACGGAACAGAACTTCAGAGGAAGAACAATGCACTTCACCTCCTCGACTCATAACCATGGAGCTGCCTTGTATTGTCTGGGCTTATTTGATGTCTTCGGTGCGAAAATGAAGTCTGAGATTCAATAAGCAGGAAAGATATTGCTCCTGTATAATGCTGCCCAAAAAGCTGTCACAATGCCACATGACGGAGTAATGGCTGCATTCAGATGTCCCTGCTGCTGGGGGCAGGGGCTGAAGACAGAACACCCAGAGAGAGGAAGGAGATGGGTCCAGAGTTGGAGGAACCAGCCAAGGACAGGAGCCATCAATGGGCCAAAGGTACTGAGCACCACTCACCATCAATGGGCTGTGTCGAGGTCTTCTGTGATGGATCTCGTCTAGGATTGGGTTCCCTAGAGGCGGAGGCTGAGATAGAGAGACTTTCACAGGTGATTTATGGAGGGGTGCTCTCAGGAGGAGGGGGCCGAGGGAAGCAGAATGTGTCTCAGCTGGAGTCAGCTTCGGCCTGACCCCACAGGAGCTCTGGAGCAGGAACTGCACCATAGAGTTGCCCCACCTGGAGGCAAAGGGCTCTCATTTCATTTTATACTCTCATTTCAGTCAGTTTGGCCAAAGTCTGGATGCCGGGGGCCGTGTAGCCTCCTGGCAGCTCCCATTTAGCTGGGCCTGGTTCTCCAGAGAAGGAGGCAGCTGAGAGATGCTAGCTGCCCACGTTCACAGCACCTGGGGATGGGTGTGCAGGCCCCCAGGATAGCGGGAGACCCCACGTTGCTCTGGGGTCCTGTTCCCAGCAATGGATGGCAGGGTGCGTAGTGCCCAGACAGCATGAAGCTCAGTGTGCCACTTGAGCTTTAAACTCCCCATCCAGCTGGCGTGCTGATATCTAGGCCTTTGCCAGTCTCAGGTGAGGTCTGGCCAGCTGGCCTTGCCTCTGGGGGTCCTGCACATGTGCCAACTGAGGTACAGCTGGCTCTGTCATGCTGGCCCTCCCTGATGAAGTCAGAAGCCCCTGCTATTTGCCTCTGTGTTGAAAGTCCTGGCTCCCCAATACTTGCATTATAAGGGCAGTGCCACAGTATTAGCATTAGCATTAACATTAGTATTGTATTAGTATTGGATACAGTATTAGTATCGCTAAGGCTGCCAGCAGACTGGTAATAACATGGGACAGGGCACCGGGGCACCTGCTTACGGTACCTGCTTTACCATTAATGAGCTGTTTGGCCATGGGCAAAGCGCTCCTCCTCGGAGCCTCAGTTTCCTCGTCGACAGAACAAGATTGTTGGGCCAGGCGAGGCCTCAGTCCCTCCAGGCCTGCAGTCCCACGTTCTGGCCTCCCCTCCCCATCTTCCAGGCGAGTCAGACCACACCAGCTACAAAGAATCACCCCTCAAGTGTCACTTCACCAGGCAGACTGAAACAGAGGCCAAGGCCACTCACTTTTCTGGGTGCCTTGAACGGGAAAAACATGGAACAAATAAGAAAAGAGGATTTTTAAGATAGCAGAATGATTTTTGCCACTAGATTGTCTAAATTGGCTATTTGTGTGGGTCTCATAATTTACAGAATTATGATTTCTGCATTCTTCTATTCAAATGACCAGAGCCACGGAATAAAGATTTTTCAAGCCAAGGAAGCTAATGAGAAATGAGAAATTTTTAACATTTAAAAAGTGACGTCTTTAACTTTGTCAGTTAACACTGGGTGTCATGCTCTAAGGCAGGGTCCACACAGGTAAGGAAGAGAGAAATTAGCATGGGCTGTGTGCCTGCTCATGCCAGCAGCTTGACCTTCCAAATCCTCAAGGAATCTTGTAGGGTAGGTAATATTCTCCACATCTTAATGACTTTTGAACAGACTCAGGCTCTGGGAGGCTGAATATCTTACCCAAGTTCATAGCTCAGGCACGAGAGAGTGGTCACAGAGCCCTGTCTCTCCTGTGCATCCGTGCCGCCACTAAGGTTTACCCAGTTTGGTAATTCCACTGAAAGTTACTTTAAAACAAACAAACGGGGCTGGCCCCGTGGCCGAGTGGTTAAGTTCGCGCACTCCGCTGCAGGCAGCCCAGTGTTTCGTTGGTTCAAATCCTGGGCACGGACATGGCACTGCTCATCAGACCATGCTGAGGCGGCGTCCCACATGCCACAACTAGAAGAACCCACAACGAAGAATATACAACTATGTACCGGGGGGCTTTGGGGAGAAAAAGGAAATAATAAAATCTTTAAAAAAAAAAAACCAAACAGACAAACAAACATGAATTCATCCAACATCGGAATCCATTTGTTTTCTTTCTTCTCTTTTTTTTTCTTGTGTAAACCAGATTTAGAAGATTTAGATCTAATTATGCATATTTTAGCTTACGGTAACCAGAAGTATATTTTAAGCACATTTTTCCAAAATAAAAATTAAATGGTCAGTCAAATAAATTGCCTCATTTTTTAATCAGAATCTTTGGTGCCAGACTTAAAGTATGTGTCCCACGGAACAAGGTTGTTCTTACCTGTGCCATATAAGACTCGGAGCTTAGGTGCTAGAGATTCAGGGAGTCCTGGCTGCCTAGCACCTGAGACATGGGAACAGCGAGGTCATGCCCATCCTTCTCCCCTGGGGGAGAAGCCATCAATGCCATGGGAAGTTGAATGTGGGGGCAGCAGCCACACTCCATTGGGGAAGGAGAGACAGTTCGCCCTAGAGATTGCTCCCGGGCAATCCTGCAGAGTTCCTGTGAGCTCCGGGCAAGACGCCTCTGCTCTACAGCAGAAGCTGGCAAACTTTTTCTGCAAAGAGCCAAGTAGTAAATATTTTCAGCTTTGTGGGCCATGCAGTCTCCGTCACAACTACTCGGCTCTGCCAGTGTTGCTCAAAAGTAGCCATAAATAATAGGTCAATGAATGAATTTGGCTGTGTTCTAGTAAGGCTTTATTTGTAGACACGGAAATTTGAATTTCGTATAAATTTCACAAGTCATGAATTATCTTTCTTCTGATATTTTTGACTCATTAAAAATGTAAAAATTATTCCTAGCTCACAGGTCATACAAAAACAGGTCCTTTGCTGTAGTTTGCAGACACCTGCTCTGCTCCAGCCATCTTCGAGTTTCAGGCGATTGACGAGTCGCATCTTCAAGCAGACAGCCAGAAGCAGTGTGGAAAACAGTGTTCGCATATAGCATTTAATAAGCACTAAAGGCCATGAGGAAACTCCTTCTGGTCCTTCCCCAAAATGCTCATCTCGTGGACATTAAAAGAATCAGTTTTGATTCTCCAAGTTGATAGCCCTTGTAACATAAACTTAAAGTGTAATGGAACTTTATGCCACATGTGTGAAAGCTGTGTGTCCTGTTCCATCTACCTGGTACAGGACAACAGGGAACACGGCAGATTGAACCACACCCCCCACCACTACCCCCAGGGCAGGACCAGGTCTCTGGTGCATGACCCTGAGCATCAGACTAGAGCCTGCTTGCTCAGTGAGCAGTACAGGCCCACAGAGGCAGGAGCTGGCGGCCAGACACACGGCAAGGTGGTATAACGATGCGGTGAATTAATTCTCAAACTCTTCCACGAAAGGCCCCCTGGCCACTATGGAGAATGCCCCCCATCCTGGGGAATCTGAGGTTGTTACCTAATACTGCCTCTTACAAGGGGCACTTTTTAAAAAATAGTACCTTTTATTTTAAAAATTCAGCAAAATTTACTTGCTACACCATCGTCTGTTTGCAAAAAATTTAATTATTTAACTTGATCATCCAAGAGGAAAACCTGTTTCCCTCCTGGCATACCGCCAAGCATCTCGGGGACGCATGCTCAGTCCCCGGGAGGGGAGCCCAGGAGAGGTGGTCCAGAATGGGCTATAGAGCCAGACAGACATGGGGCAGGGCTGGAACTGACATTTTCTTGATGACCCTGAGCAAGTTAGCTACACCCATGGAACCCCAGTATTTCCCTCTGCAAAACAGAGTTGATAATATCTACTGGGACTGTAGAGTGAGGCTTCTCAATCAGCACGGGGTAAGCTATCCTGGGCATCCAAATTGCAGGGGAAGAGATTTTAAAATGTGTTTTCTTCCTCTCTCTTTTAATGAATTAATAATTAATGTAGGGGCAAGGGGTTTGTTTTGTTCTGTTTTGTTTAGGGTATAATTTACATGTGATGAGATCTTAGGTTCTTGATCACTCTTGACAAATGCATACATCCACATAACCCAGACTCTGTCAAGATACAGAAAATTTCCATCACCTCAAAAAGTTTCCTTGTGCCCCCTCTCTAACCCTATTCCCCACCTCATACACCCCACCCCACTACACACACACAAACACACATACGGTAACCACTGTTCCCATCTCTTTCACCATTGGTTAGTTTAGTTTTGCCTTTTCTAGAACTTCATATAAATGTGATCAGAGTGTGGACTCCTGTATGCCTACTTTTGTTCAGCGTATCTGTGGGATTCAACTATGTTGTTATGCATTTCACTAGTTGGTTCCTCTTCATTGCTGGGTAGTATTCCATTCTACACCGTACCACAGTATATCCCTTCTCCATAATGGACACATGGGTTGTTTCCACTTTTGAGTTACTTTATTAAAGCTGCTGTGAAAATCCACATATGTGGACATATGTTTTCATTTTTCTTGGGTAAATATCTAGAAGTAGAATTGGAATCATAGAGTAAATGTATGTTTATGTTCATCTTCATAAGAACTCCACTTTTTCCAAAGTTTTTGTATCATTTTACACTCCCATCAGCAATACATGAGTTTGGGTTGCTCCAACATCCTCAGCATCTGGAATGGTCTGTCTTAATTTTCGCTATTCTAGTAAACGTGTAGCAGTTTCTCATTGTGGTTTTATTTTGTATTTCTCAGGTGACTATATTGGGCACTTTTTCATCTGACTATTGGCCATTCATGTCTCTCCCTTTGTGAAGACTCTTGTCTACCTTTTAAAAATTGGTTTGCCTTCCCTCAACTTCTGAATGCAATCCAAGGGTCTGGCATTTTCTCAGGATAGAGAACCATGCATGGCCCAGGTTGGCTCCATGGTCATTAAATTTGGAATATCTCCAAATAGGTGTTCAAAAGGGGTTCAGATTCACCTACTGGGTGTCTAATGGCCCTCCGTTGGGAATCTTATCTGTCAGATAAGAGGTAGGGAACTTGGGATCTCCTAAAAGATGTGGGGCTCAGGAAGCTGGAATGATGGGAAAAATCTAGAAACCAGCTCGCATGTTTTTAAAAAGTTAAGCTTCAAAGAAACAAATTTCAAAATCTTCCCTTCTGAACGTCTTGGTAAATGATTAAGTGATGTGATGGAAGGGAACAGGCCTGAGAGGCACCTATGGAAGATATTACAACCTATGAACTTCTCATGAAAAGGTGCTTTTTAGGTCAGACTTGAAATAGGAGAAGCCTCATCTTGGTCTTTAGGTCGACACCATCCTACCTCCCCTGCGTCTGTGGCCCGGGAGGTTGCTCTCCTCTCCGTCACCCAGGACCCCAGGGTGCTTTACCTGCTCAGATGAGGGTCCTGCTACACTGATACACTGACCCAGCATCAAAGGGCTGGGAGGATCCTGTGGGGCCGCCATGGACGTGGCATGGGGCAGGGCACAGAGAGGGCATTTGCCCTATGCAGGGTTGGGGGGTGTCCAGTAGAAGTTGCTAGATGGATGCAGTCTGGGCTGGAGGTTGGGGTGGAGGACCCAGTCAGGGGAGGCGTATTCCGGGCAGGCCAGAGGCCCCCAGGGCCTGGCCATTTAGGGCAGGAACAGACAGAGGCCCAGGCAGAAAGGTGGCAAGGCTGCAGCTCAAGGGCAGCAGAGGTAAGAATAAGGCGGGGGCACATTGTGGACAGCCCAGGACACCTGGGGGTGGGGGAGGCAGCAGGCAAATGAGAGAACGAACAGCCTGACCAGCTGCAAACGCTTCCTTCCCCCTGAAGGAGATTGGGTTGCCTCCAGGACCTGGGTGCTGGGGGACTCTGAGGCAGGGCCCAGCCACTCCCTTCCATGCTTCCCTTGTAGGCACAGCTAACCCTTACTGCTGAGTGCCTGCTAGGTCGGGCAGCTTGGCACCACGCTAAATGCTTTACAGAATTCTCTCATTTAGCCTCCGGATAACCCTGTGAGGGAGTTGCTGCTGTTATCTGGATTTGCAGATAAGGAAACTGAGGCACAGAGTGGTTAAGTAACCTGCCCAAGCTCTAGAGTTGCCAGATGTAGCAAATAAAAATACAAGGTGCCCAGTTAAATTTGAATTTCAGGTAAACAATGAATAATTATTTCAATACAAGTATATCCCAAATATCGAATGGGACATACTTATACTAAAAAATTCCTTGCTGTTTATCCTAAATTCAAATTTAACTGGGCACCCTGTACTTTATCTGACAACCCTACTTTTAACCGCTTTGCCAAATAATGAAAATGAAGGATAGCAATAACTGTCATGGTTGAGGACTAACCAAGTGCCGGGCACTGTGTTCTGTCCCTAGCCAGTGGTACCCAGCCTCACCTCCACCCTGAGACAATGAGGAAGGAGAGGCTCTGAGACGTTCTGCTTAGCTGGTGAGAAACAGAACCAGGATCAAGGCCAAGTCTGTGACTCCAAAACCCACCTAGGATGTAACCTCCTGGTGTAGGGAGAATCCCGGAATTTTTCCCAGAGATGTGACCACAGCAGAGATGTGCCCATGGCAGGCCCTCCAGAACTCTCTGTTGGATTTAATTACAAGCAGGAATCATGTATTCCTGTGGTTTCCTTTCAGGACCCTTCCAGCCCAGGCTCAGAGAAGGTTTGGTAGATTTCTTCTGTGGCCCCTTTGACCTTCAGAGTTTTTTTTTCAAGAGCCCGAGCCACCTCGGTGGGAACTGGCATTCCTATTGCCAAGGACACCCCTGCAATTAGGATCTGCAAGGAAACAGCAGCTGTCCTGGCCTGGTTGCTCTGTGAAGACTCACCTGGATTAGAATACCTGAGGGCAGACCCAAGTGCGCCTCCCACATGGGGCTGCCAGAGAG